GTCACGTTAGAACAATATACAGCCCGCCGGAACCGATCAGGAACTACCGATCTATTGTTAACATGAGACAGTCGAACCAAAATAGTGTTCATGTCCATTATCCCTTAAGACGCTTGGAACTCACTGGGATCTCATGAGTTCAGAAGCTTTTGAACACAAATCGGTTTTTAGGTTTTTATTATAGCAACGTTTCACTCTTGATGATGTTGGCGTTGATGTTGTGGATCATGATTTCTTCAAGGCATTCGACCAGTTGCACCATGCATCCTTCCACCCAATCTTCAGGGATACGGCATTGATGATCGCCGCCTAGGGTGAATCGTCAATTTCCTCTTGTACTAGTGTGTATAATCGAGGGCACATGCATCCGTATCAAATTATGTTCCGTTGGGTTGCGGCGTGCCACTAGGTTCGGCACTGATGCCACGTCTATTGTTTATCTTTATCTTGCTTTGCTACGACATCAAAGTATGGTAATTAATCAATATACCGGAAGATGGCATACAGTTTCAGAACGGTCTTAACGATATTTCTGTGTGGTCAGTCCAGAATCGTCTCCAGGTTAACGTAATTAGACGTCTAGTGCTCCACCTAAGTTATCAGATGGTTCACAATTATAAATTTGGCGACCGGGATCTTCCGCATTTGCTCGCGGGAAAATATGTCTGATTTTGTCCAGAAACAACTCGGTTATTTGGATCAAGCCCCAAAATCAGCAATAATAGGCATCCAAAACTTATGACTCTCACGGAAATCTTTCAGTTGCTTCGACCCATCTGGTTTCTTCTAACAGTTTTTGGCATACGTACGCACTCACATGAATAATCGGCTCAAGTATGGCAGCTATGGCAGAATTAGTATCTTATTTTGATGTTGTGCAAAGTAGGGCCACCAAAAACATCAAAAGGCTATATCACTTACCTTACAAACAACAAATGGATATTCTTAAAATTTTCAGTAGACGCTATCAGCGTCTGTGCCGCGATGTTCTCATGATTAAGCAAAGTTTAAACGACCTTTATCACTCATCCGTTAAGGTTCAGCCATAACAGCAGACTGAGAGGCTACTCTTGCCAACTGGCAGAACACTGAAACCGGCTGGAGTGTAAACGGAATCTGTTCACTCTGACTGTTTGCTACGTACGAAATTTCCTTCAGGTAGCTTTAACTTTCACGCCTGCCGTAACTGTGTTCAAACAGCATGTGGTTAAGAGGCTGGTCGCAACACAATATTATGTGACCACCATAAATCCTTGGCACATGCAGAAAGTCAAATTGCACCAAAGGACACCAGTTTTAATATTAAAACAAAAGGCGGGCCATTTCGACTGGCATAAAACCATATGTGAGCGATTTAGGCTGGCAAAATTTTGATCGGCGTGTTCCCTGTTTCCGGTTGTTCACAGTTTAGAGTTGTTCTCCTTTTGAAATTTCTTACCCACCATCCTGTGAGACTTGGAAATCTTCGGCTTTTTTATCTGAGATATACCATTAACCACCGGGCTTCATTTTTGTCTACAAAATTAATCATTCCTCCATCGGAAATTTCGTGCACAGACATCTGAAAATTACTGCAAGGTACTCCTGATACGCAGATAAATCGCATACATTTTACGCTCTTGAGCCAACACAAGTTATCCAGCCGTGTTCGTTAAACTAATGAGACACTCCACTATTGCACGGTCCTCACCTGTTCACCTCATTGTTACGGACCCGATATGCTCCAGTTAACGACAGTCCTTTATTTCATATGGTTGGCGGCATCCGGTTTCGGATTTGCCTGTCACTGTGGCAAGCCACAGGACGCCTGCGCCTACAGAGGGACCATGGATGGCTTGCGCTGCACCACCCACAGCTCCAACCACATACCCCATATCCAGTGTAAACCCGAAGGAATAAGACCGGGAGGCATGCGGATGGGAACCACGTTTCATCAACGGAGCCGGCCCACACTCCTTCACAGGCAAACACAAGCACACTGTATTTGGGAATCAAGCGCACACAAGGCGGTGGCTGGACCGTAGTCCGCTCCACACTGAGTGCATGGAACCGCTCTTTGAGCCTAGCACGGCCACAAGAACCGTGCACCCCGTCCCCTCCAGCAACGACCAACTGTCTCCTGGAGCCAGTATGAACGATGTAGTGGGTAATAGACAGGTAGGCACCTTGTCAACATACACATCAAGCGCAACCATACCAGGGATATCAAACAACAGCCATTCACTTTAAACGACAAGCTGAAATAAAATAAATCCAATAATGCATACAGATACGGTGGCATAACTCTGCAAAATCACCATATGATATAATTTGGTTAGCAACAAATCCGTGATAAGTAAGAAATGTTCACAAGTTACTTAAAATGCTACAAACGCAGAAAAATTACCGAAGATAAGCGCAATTAGTTTAAGCAACGCGGCCAGTTAATAGAACATTATTCAGGGAAGCAGAACAAACTAAATAAAGCGGAATGAAATTTATCCAGCTTAAAAGACCTACGTACATGGTTGGCGGCATCCGGTTTCGGATTTGCCTGTCACTGTGGCAAGCCACAGGACGCCTGCGCCTACAGAGGGACCATGGATGGCTTGCGCTGCACCACCCACAGCTCCAACCACATACCCCATATCCAGTGTAAACCCAAAGGAATAAGACCGGGAGGCATGCGGATGGGAACCACGTTTCATCAACGGAGCCGGCCCACACTCCTTCACAGGCAAACACAAGCACGCTGTATTTGGGGAATCAAGCGCACACAAGGCGGTGGCTGGACCGTAGTCCGCTCCACACTGAGTGCATGGAACCGCTCTTTGAGCCTAGCACGGCCACAAGAACCGTGCACCCCGTCCCCTCTAGCAACGACCAACTGTCTCCTGGAGCCAGTATGAACGATGTAGTGGGTAATAGACAGGTAGGCACCTTGTCAACATACACATCAAGCGCAACCACACCGGGGATATCAAACAACAGCCATCCAGGTTAAACGACAAGTAGAAATAAAATAAATCCAACAATGCATACAGATACGGTGGCATAACTCTTCGCTAAGTTACCATATGAAGTAAGTGCGTTAACAACAAATCCGTGATAAGTAAGAAATGTCCACAAGTTACATAAAATGCTACAAAACGCAACAAAATTACCGAAGATAAGCGCAATTAGTGTAAGCAACGTGGCCAGTTAATAGAACATTATTTAGGGAGGCAGAACAAACAAAATAAAGCGGAATGAAATTTATCCAGCTTAATAAGACCTAGTTTAAGTGTATGTTGGTTTAGCCCAACTGCGGTGAAGAAGCATCAAGAATGCAACATCAGCCTCAGCATGGGGCACAACAGCCTCAGCATGGGGCACATCAGCCTCAGCATGGGGCACAGAGTTGTTAAGTCCCATCATCACTGGTCACTCCTGTCCTGTGCACATGGCGTTTGCGATATAGAGAATTCACCCCCGGTACCGACTCTGTCCCAGCGCTCACAACATATGTGCTGCTCACAACGACCGCACATCTGTCGTTATTTGCAGATCTGTCAAGATTGGTGAGTAGACCACTCATCTCTGATTTCACATAAAGGAGGATTAGACTGTTGGCAAGGCAGTATAATGGTACTGCAATAACTTCTTGTACTTTCATTCAGAGCACAAACCAATGAATAGGAGCACTTTGACGAATCTGCCTATGGTTGACTGCCGTCTAGAACTATACGATGATGAGCTTTGTTTAATCCAGACGGGCCTATTATTCCCGGAAGGAAACTTAATATCTCTGTAGTGTAATAAAGTGTGGTAGTTCGGATAGGCTCTAATTATCGCCAAAACAGGGTCGGGAAGTTCGATGACAACCATGAGGTGAACTGTGATGTTCTTTATTTGGTGCTCACGTACTTCGTGTAATCGTTTTTCCTAGCTGGTAGTTCGAACAAAACGTCGCGATGAAATAAACCGAATGCGCTCTTGAAATCGATGTACGTAGTTATTTTTACCACCTTTGACACTTGTACAGGGTGAAACAGTGACTTCTGCAGCCGCATCTTTTGGGGAAAGCTGTCAGCTCTTTCCTGATCCTCGAACATCGTTCCACAGCAACAATAATGCCTACGTGGTCCGTTCCAAATTTGTGGTTATCCCAAAGTTGTCATTATACTCCATATGCTCGGGCCTCGCGTTCAGCTACTGACGTTATTGGACACTCGCAACTTTCAGGTTATGTTTCGTGCTTCAATGAGAATAATTCCCTTCAAAGGCAGCAGTATTGCTTGAAATCTCTGAATGAGTAAACCTAACTTTCAGAGATTTTCTGCGCAGCTGAAGGCACAGCAGAACTGTGTGAACATTTTCGTCACACATTAGTCGATTTGCCGTTTCTGGAACGTGTGTGGGCCGGGCACGCTTTTCCAAATAGCTTTTCTTGAATATGTAATATATCAGGGACACGATTTGACCAGAACACCTTGCTGTCTAACAAGAGATCGAACTCTTATATAACAGGCTGGACGTCTTTTACGCACTTGTTCGGATTATGACCCAACAAAAGCCAGTATTGTATGTTTGTTCTATTTTGCTGTATAGTTGTTTTAGTTTTTATCCTCCCCTATCTGTTTTTAATCACATTTTAATATTTTTTCAGAAATGCAATTTACCGTTATTATCGACTTGCACGCCTAGTTATCTTCAATTGCAATCGGGCCTGTTCATCCGTTGCTACTTACGATCTTGCACTTCAGTAGCTTCCGAGCTGGTCCCTGGGTGGTTTTGAGCTGACATGATGGATGTCGGGAACTTTGGTTGAAGACCTCATGCTGCACAAATATTTTGTGAACCTCAGAAAAAAGGCCTGCAGCATGCCGTCACTGGGCGATGTTCCTTGTAACAATTTTGCTTACATTGTCTCTGCTCTTTTCCTTATATTTTTTGAGGGGTTACGGCTTCTGCTTGTTCCATACATATGTCGTTTTTTGGCTTACAATCTCTATCTCACATAACTACTCGGCTTTCCACAGGCAAAAAGAACTGTATACCAATTAGCGCACGTGTCCTCAAAGCTCTCATCAATATGCTGGACAGTGACAACATGGATATCGTACCTTACGTGAATGGCGCTCTGTACTCCATTCTGGCAGTCCCAGAAATTCGCACAGTTGCAATCACAATGGTAAGCGACTCGGATTGATATCTGCACATTGCTATATCCGCGTACTGCTTTCGCGCGATCTCAGACTGCAATTGTCATATGGAGAGGGATTTATAATAGCTAGTTTTTCTCGCCATATATTACAGCCTGTCTGCAAAGCCAGCCACTTGTATACTGTTCGTGAAGACCAACCAAATAACACTTTATGTAAAGCTGGTGACAGTTTTGTTCACCTTGGGCTAGCTTACTACTCCATAACTCCTTGTAGTGCTTCTCTGAGTTCGTCTTCATTGGGGATGCGCTTTCAGCTCTCTCGCATGCCTGTGGTTAGCATCGCGGTAGCAAGTTAAAGTCACATGAAACCCTACAGGTAACGCCCCATAACTTCGATCCTACCACCAGCCACTGAACTCAAACACTGTCAGTCTCCGGTCGCGCTAGGATTGTTTCATTCTAATAATCCTTGCGTCACGCATTGTGCCACGATGTCTCGTCCACCGCCGGTCTGCCGAACTGTTGGTTACACATCCATTCAACTTTGTCACACTCCCTGGTTGAAGCAGGAGTGGCGTCAGCGACAGAAAATGACGACCTAAACAACGCCGTGAGTCAACCGCAAATCCGCACTTCATGCGCCCTCTTCTCACCAGACAATGGGCTGATTAGTCCAAGTTCGGTTGCTCGAAATTTGAATGTTCCGAAGGCGATGTACAAACTGGTCTGAATTAATTTCGGTATGAAAAATAAGCATAAAAAGTCAGTGTAATTCTCCATCGATGCGATGCTTGTCTGGATTTGCAGAAGAGGACTGATCTTAAACTGTATGTTTTGATATGTCGCTTTCCGTTGCACACCTGATATCTTGGTGGCTACCTTCATATTAATAAATTCTAGATATTATGTGTCCCACTCGCTTCACTCTACAACCAGTTGTGTCTTCTGCAAATAGAGATGATCCAACCGGAACAAAGGATAACGGGACCTCGCATTCGCTGACAAGCGCTTTTACCACGACATTTTAGGGTTCCGAGTGTCGCGCTTATCACAGCGCTAAGGAACACACTGTCAAGTTGTTTGGAGTATCCGTTCTGTGACACCAAATTGCAACTTTAACCGTGATTTACCTTGGACGGAAGCCACCTCAGTTCATCTACTGTGACTGTACCTGGAGCTCGGTTGCCTGCATCGACCAACAACTCTGCGTCACGAGTGCGGACTGCTTCTAGACAATCTCTTCCTTAGTCGTCCGAATAAAGGCGATCACTATGACAACTTGCGATGTTGTAGGCGTAGAGCGCTTCAGGTTCACCCTCGTTAATCGAACTAACTGGCGCGCATTCATTTGAGATTATGGTCCGATTTATGGTTGAGCATTACGAGTAAGACATAAATAGCTGTTCTAGAAACTTGACATATACAACGAGTGCATTTATGCGAAGAAGTGTGTTTTTTCTGGAGTATACATCTCAAACTTATAGGCTAACACTTAAGGGGAGGGTCTAAGCTGAAAAAGTCAAAAATTGTGTTTTTCAAAGCTCGGTATATATATATATATCTATATCATTTCCCGCAAAGTTGCAAAGAAGGTCCAAAACTTTGCAAACAAAGTCCATAATGTTGCAAAACCCTGTGCGATTCGCCAGCCGCTCAGAGCCAATCCTCTGACCTTAACTGTGTTCTCATTGGCCGGATGCCAAGGTTCGGTGCGTTAGTCTGGGGAGGTGAGCGCGCTGCTCGTTGACTGGGTGAGAATTGTGAATGAACCTTGGAGGAATGCACTTCGACGGTGCAACGGGCTTTTGTGCGCCCCCCTCACGTCCGAAACGATGGATCACAATTGGTCTGAGAGCAATGAACAGCTGGAACATAAGCGCACGACCGAAACTATAGATATAGTCAGATCTTCATGAAATTTTGGAGAGAATATCATTATTTATCATGCAAATAATATATGATCAAGAAATAAAGAAAAGTATGTTTATTATTATTTTTATTCGCATTTTAGTAAGATACCTAAATTAGTGATGCCGAATTGGTTGTTGTGGCGTTCTGGGTCCCAACAACAAAGTACTCTATGTATAGAGCTAAAATTTTGTGCAGTTATTTACATATAGTTCAGCTTTAGAATAAACTATACTCAACTCTGTATCTGAATTAGGTCTTCCAATACTGATGTTCAGATTTGCATACAAATCCGAACTGAGGTTAAAAGTTGACCACAAGTGTAGGACACTTAAAATTAGTTTATTTCATGCAGAAACTAAAGAAGAGCACCTCCTCCAAATTTTATTGACTTCGGACCATTAGTTTTGAAATTATCCTCAGAACGCTGACGTAAGAGTGAAAAAACGCAGTTTTGAGAAAAATGGCTTTAAAGTTAAAGTACATGAAAAAATGAAGGTCATTTAAACTTTTGTGGCATATCGGTAATTTATACAAATTTCGGTGATATCCCATGATACGATTTACGTAGAAAAACTAATCTGGACTACTCATGGGCACCAGCAAGATAGAAATCTTCGATATCTTCACACTCCCTTGAAGCTGCTACTTTTCGTGCTCGTCGTTCAGCTGGCAGAAGTGCGGCAGCTGTTGCATGAATTCTTGTTCTGTCTAGTTCATTACAACACAGTCTGATTTACAATCCAGTAGATATCCCCAACTTCTCAAATATAGGCAGCCTACCCCTCTCTCCATCATTGGAAACCATTGCAGCATCAGCAACTGCAAGAGTAAGCCTTTGCCTTCCATCAAAACCAGTCTTTGGACACCTTTGCCAAATTAAATTGTGAAAACTTTAATTTGTATTTTGTGTTCCTCCATGGGCACAGTAATGTCTCACTGGCAAGAGTTTCAAAAACAGACCTGATAGCCTTGCACACATAAGGAGAGAGAGCATTCCTGTCAGAGTCTCCAGCTGGCTGCTTCTTGGAGGGACACCAGTCTCTACAGTTAGTGTGATCACGGTTGCAGTGCTCCCATATGGCCCATATATCTTTTTGCATCTGAGGCCCATTATTAGTATTTCTTCATATTGCAGCCCCATAATTTCCTTGAGTGTTTAACATTGCCTTCTTTGTCAGACAACCTCGCCCACCGATTCCTTGCACATTCTTGCCATTGTGTATAAAGGTCTCCTATTTTAACTCAGTTACCTTATTGGTCAGGTGTCGCCCCATTCTCTTCTGCATGTGCCCACAACACTCAAGTTTGAAAATGTTCACATCATTATACACAGGTGGTTCTGCATTTGATACTGATGCATAAGATTTACTGTCACCATCTCCAAGAAAAGAAACATAGTGCAGTCCATGTAATTGCTCACTTCGGCGGAATATTTCTAGTGCTCCAGCTGGCTCCATGCTGCCTGCCGACCCACTGTGATTCTTGTCGCAGTCTTGTACATGTGAACACTTCCATGCCTGAAACTCGGTCTCAGTTTTATTTCTCTGGTTTTTTGCACAAGCGTTGCAATAGTTTGACAAAACTGAGGTGTCGAGAACCTTCGAGTTATGGCCATCACTTTAAGAACCAATGAAAATGGTTCTTTTAAACTGAAAGGTAATGCGGAATTACCAGATAGGCCTTGCAAAGCCGAATCGAATGCAACTTGAATGAAGTTTCTAGGACGTCTACAAGCCGAGATGCAGCATTTTAAAATTTACGCATGTATAATGAGCTTGAATACATAGAAAAACAAGTCACACATGCTTCACAAAATGCTGAAATACTGCATTACAAAAGATGCTAACAGAAAAATGGTTCGCAGATTTATATTCTAGGATGACTGCAGTTGACATTTGTATGGTTTTCCAAAATGGTCAAAAATTACGATTTTTCAGATTTTTCAGCTTAGACCCTCCCCTTAATGTAGGGGGAACAGGCCCAACTTGTGGATGTGGCTTTAGAATCCACTGGGATTTACTTGACGCCCGTCAGATGCAACCCTGAAAGGTTTTCTACTTTGCTTTCTGCTCGCGATGAAAGTACCTTACCGAACTATACAACATGTGATAGACAAGCTTTTACGCCGTCAAGAACACGCAACAGATTTTTTTCGTGAAATGACAACTCTGTTGCATGAATGTGGAGAGTGATGTTGACAAACATCCAACATAATTACATTTTGAGTGCGGTACTGTGAATCATCGAAATCACACTACTTCAAATACGTGTAAACCACACCACTTGATCTTGAATGCTGTAACGACACTAAAGACGCTTAGTTCAGATATTTACTGTTGCTCATTAAGTTTTCCTCATTGCTAGTGGCTTTCACTAAGAAATAAATGAGTTACTTTACCCTGAGGTCGTATACCGCTTATCGGTAAATGTACAAATTTATTTATTTCTTTCTTTAATACTCGTTCTCCGACTGAATTCTTTGGTTTGATAGACTAACTATTGACTGTTGTCGATCGTCTGTAGATTCTGGTCAGTGGTGGGTCGTGTCACTACGTCATTCGACTTAGCCTTTATACCAATTCTCTTTCCTTTGGTTTTTTCTTGCTATTCTGAAGGGAAATTAAAAAGATACTCATAGTAGTTGGGTCTCAGTGATGCGCCTAGTTTCTGTGACGACAGTGACTACCCTGTCGGTAGCTAACTCAAAAGTGGGTGAGATGAACTAATGTGCTGTTTTCAGTTAAATCTGTGCGATGTAGCAAGTTTTATGTACGCCTTTCTATGTTTGCAGGGGTTGCAATCTGTGTTGGATAGTCATATCAAACCCAATCAGCCAGAAATGAATAAACAATTTGAGTTTATCATCCAAAGGCTTCGCTCTAGTAAGTCTATCACAAGATGTCTGTGGCTTAGTCTCAATCTATTTCACTTCGCATTGGCCTCGACGATTGTTTTGATGGTGAGCTTTTAACCCGCCTCTTGTAAAGATGTGTCCAATCCAATACGCGTAGATTTTGAATGCTGATCCACAAGTTTGCTTTGTAAACCCATTTCTAGCAATTTGAATATGTCTAGTTTACGGTTACTCGTCCAGCTTACTCTTTTATCGGTGAACTTGTTAGAGCACATTACGAAGGTTAAAGAGTTGATCGAATTCACAGATCCAGCACAGTACAGTAGAGTCTCACATGTTCGTCATGATGCACGGTTTCTTACCATGTCCGAGAAACTTTCCAGCCATGTGTGTTCGTACTTTTTGCGCCCCCAGCCAGTGAGTCGATAGCGCCCGTCCGCGGCCAAATTACTGGTCTGCGTACTCATACCCAAGTCTTATGTTAGTCACTTTCTTAATCACTCCCAGCTGAATTCTGCGCGCGCGTAGCGTGCAGGCCACCAAGCCGCCAAAGTCTGTGCAGTGAAAGTATGCAGTTCAGTGACCGGCATAATCTATCTGAGCTGAATATCTTAGGACGAACATCCTCAATACTAAGGTAATGTTGCCATAGTACACCAGCAATGCCCCGAAAGCAGCGGAGATCAAAAATGGACATCATATGGACATCCTTTGAACGAACAGGCCAAGTCTCACAGGCAGGACCCTTCACATCACGGCATCGTAGACTCAGACAGCGTCGATGCACAAGTAACCCCATCATTAGAGGTCTGCAAAGAGACTTCCTCCGTCAATCTGTTAGCGGTGATACAGCTTCTAAAGCAAAGAAGCTTGTCTACCGATTCCAAAGAATAACCTGAAATGCTAAGGGTGGGAGTAACTCCTTACCAGTCCTGCAGTGGCAGCTCGCACTTCGATGGAGCGAAGGTCATTCCAAACAGGAATGCTGGTACTTGCAACCTAGAGGGTTCAGATGGACATCCTCTATCCTACAGCACTGAGTGTGCGCCCGCGTTGGCGACGCACTTCGCTGCTGTGTTTACAAATGACCCGGTGTCTGTATCGAGTACGACGTGTACCGCGCTTACCGAAGTTGACAGTTTGGTTTGCGGTGTTGCAGAGATGCATGAACTACTCACCAACCTTGACGTCACCAAACCTGCTGGCCCTGACGGACTCCACCCACTGATTCTCAAGTCCATGTCGTCTAACACCTCACCTACTTTTGCTGAATTGTACAACTGGTCACTGTCCGAAGGTTCATTGCCGAGCGACTGGAAATGCTAAGTGGTAAAAGCGATTCTGAAAGGCGGTGACCCCAACAATATGATTAACTACAGGCCGATTTGTCTGACACCAACCTAGGCCAAGGTTACCGAGATCGTGAAGAAAGATCCAATACAGTTGTTCCAGTCAAAAAATCTATTGACGCTTGCACAGTACGGATTCCTGCTAAACGGCTTATACCTTACCAACCTGCTGTTGACGAGGCATGAATGGTTGCAGGCAGTGAACCATGGGGTCCTCCCCCACAAGCTGAGAGTGTGCGGTGTAAGTGAATCGCTACATCAGTGAATCCAGGACTTTCTCCTTAGAGAAAAATGGGGATACAGGTCGACGGCCTTCTAAGTGACTGGTATCCCTCTACAACTGGCGTACTCCCAGCCACGGTACTAGTACCCACTCTGTGGTCAATTTGGAACCCATCTTGCTCTTCGTGTATGTTCTCTTCGCGTTCCAGGCTGAGCCTTCCTAAAAGTATGGCGCTGAGAACTTTAGATGCAACGCACATGGCATTAATCCCACTGTGGTTAGCGCAGTCTGTCTGGGCATCACTTTTGGAGACAAGCACAGTATCCGCTAGACTCCAGTCAGACAGCATTACTTCGGTGTTGCGAAGCTCTTGGAGGAAGGAAGTTTGTTCGCAAGCAAGTGATGGACCTCAATCTTTGCATAGAGTCGGAGGAAGTTTATCTGGCCATAGACTTTACAGTGCTTTAGGAGGCGTGGTTCATCAGCAAAGCTTCAGCTCGTGGTGAAGCGTCTTCACTCCAGGTAGTACTCTGGATTTCTGAGTGAGTACTAACCAGTGCTGCTGGGCAGTTAAGCTGCTGTTCAGATTGCGCGGCCCAACGATCAATTCTACTTTGTTAACAGTAGATTTGCTTGCTGTTGATTTCTTATAAAACTTCACTTATAATCGGCTATTTGGTTCCACTATATCACATCAAGATAAGCATACGGAAATGCCCTGACATTACTGCTTGTTCAACATCAGTGACACGGTGCGTTCATCAGGTCTCGCGATCCTCTCGCAGGGGCTGTTTGAGTTTAGCGTAAATATTCCTGCGCAGTAAATGATATCCAAAGCTAGCAGGGATCGCTCAGCGAGCTTCAAAAAGCTGGAGAAACCATGCAGTTTTATTGCTTGACCGCGACTGCTTATGAAACCACAGATCAGGGTCGTAGCGCTCTGCATGTCGTTGGGGATGTGTGCCCATTGCATTTTAACGTTGGAACATGAGACGCTCTTGAAATTTGATGCCGGCGCATTCTGAAAGGCGCTGGGAACTCCTGGGACAGAAAGCTTAGCCGTGTCACTCTGTTTCCGACGGCGCATTTGGGAGCCACCAAAAGATACAGCGATCTGGGTACACATGAGTACGTGATCCTAAGGTAGATAGCTACTCCAGATGGTTTTGCGATCTTTTGTACATGCCGACAGCGCTAGTGGATGGCAATATGGTTAATTTGTATGCACTGCTGGCCACGTGCAGGGGTTTCCTTTTGGTACATTGGCGCCAGGATCGCCGAAACCTAAGCCTCGACGGTAACAAGTCGTGATCGACGCAAAGCTGAAGTAGGTGATCACCATTGTCTGTTCTGCGAGTACCATGTCTATATTGATTACCGAGTTCATATTTGTCGAATTCCAATCTGTCGACCTGCACGTTTAAGTTTCTGGCATGCATCACCATGTCCGGGGAGCGCTTTTTCACTAGACCTCATCTTCACCTGACTCTGGACTGCGGTCTGTGGAAGCCCACGCTACTGCAACAAGCAAGCAACGCCTGTAGGCCCCGCTGCAAGACAGTCGCACTGAGGTTTCATATAAATAAATAACTAAACAAATATTTTATTCTAGATAGTGCGAGGCACGCCTGTATAGGCATGATCATGGTGATACAACAAGAACTGGTAAAGGTTAAAGTGCTACAAGTTTAAAAGTAACATATGGATCTATGCGTTAAGTGTGTATGAAGGTAAGAACGAGTGTGATTGTGTTGCTGTGCCCCATGCTGAAGCTGATGTTTTGCATTCGTGATGCTTCGTCACCGCAGTTAAGCTAAAGCAATATACCCTTACACTAGGACATTTTAAGCTGGATAAATTTCATTGCACTTTGTTTGGTTTGTTCTGCCTACCTGAATAATTTTCTATTAACTTCCACATGTTGCTTACACTAATTGCGCTTATCTTCGTTAACTTTCTTGCGTTTGGACCAATTTTTGGGTAACTTATGAACCATTTGTACTTATTGCGGGGGCGTTGATAACCTACTTACTCCATTTGCTAATTTAGCGAAGTTATGTCGGCATAGCCGTATACTTTAACAGATGTATTTTATTTGTTAATGTTGTTTCAAGTGATTGGCTGTTGCTTGATATCCCCGGTGTGGCTTCGTTTATTGTGTATGTTGACAAGGTGCCTACCTGTCTATTACTCATTACCTCGTCATACTTGCTCTAGGAGACAGTTGGTCGTTATTGGAGGAGACGGGGTGCACGGTCCTTGTTGCCGTGCTAGGCTGGAAGAGTGGTTCCGTGCACTCAGTGTGGAGCGGACCACGGTCCAGCCACCGTCTTGTGTGTGCTTGATTCCCAAATACAGCGTGCTTGTGTTTGCCTGTGAAGGAGTGTGGGTCGGCTCCGTTGATGAAATGTGGCTCCCATCCGCATGCCTCCCGGTCTTATTGCTTCGGGTTTACACTGGATATGGGGTGTGTTGTTGGAGTTGGGGGTGGCGCAGCGCACGCCTTCCATGCTCCCTCAATAGGCGCAGGCGTCCTGTGGTTGACCACAGTGACAGGCAAATCGGAAACCGGATGCCGCCAACCACGGTTGTGTTGCCTGAATCTGAATTTGTATGTGTAACACCGTATTTTTGAATGCTTTTGGTCAGGCATATGAAAAAGTGAAATAAAATCTTCGTATTGAATAACCCACCTCCGTGTATTGACTTAGATACTTCAGCTACGGAAGAGGCCATTACTTTAGTTGGTGACGAGTCACCGCAACGTCATAGCGTTGTTAGACATTTGCGTTTTTTATTATGAGAAAGCTTGCCAGACGATAACCTACCACATCCTGGAATACTGCCGCCGAATTATTTGCTGGGACGGCGTAAATCTGAACCACCGAGGTGGCATCTGTTCGGAACTAACTGGGTCGATTTTTGGCAGAGATGCAGTCTAAAAGCGCGGCCTCAACGAAAAACCCTTCTACCCTCTCGGTTAGTAGGGATATCAATCTTCCCTGACCGGTGCACTCAGCTGCGACTCACTGCAACACATTGATCTACACTGGATATTCATACAGAAGACCATGATCTCTTCCAGCCAGTTAGTCTGCGCTCTTGCTCAACACCCTATGAAGGCTTGGATTTCCACACGTTCCCTGGATCTATTTGAGTGCTGTAGTAATATCCTGGTGGGGTCTACTCAGTGTGAAGTGCACTGTTCCGTCAGTCGCAGATCAAGCAAAGCCTACGCAGTGATCACGGAGCCTGGTTGTCTCAGCATGCTTCAAGAATCGAGGCCGCTGCTCTCTCCGGCAATACTCTTAAGCTCTTCCAGCTCATTCGATGCACTGGCTACAAGAGGCCTGATGTCAGTGAGACTACTTACCAAGCGGATGCTTCGCCGATTGCTATCCTACAGAAGCGCTGGGATCCATGGACCGAACATTTTTAACCCTAGTTCAATTGACC